GCAGTAGTGTACAGTAGTGTTGCGCGCATGAGCAGTGGCGTAATTACTATTATTATAAATAGCCTATATTTTAGGTATACTTTATAGAAATAATACAAAAAAAACAAATCCTTTATGCTAGTTGTACATAAATACTTCATACCTAGTTCGTTTTAAATGCAGCCACGCAAGTTTATAAGTATCACTATTGCAATATGAATATGTTTTGTGTAAGTTTTGAGTTTGTTTATGCATTGTGTAGTGGTACAAAAATATACCACCGAGCAGTAAAGTATTATTTTATCGTGGATCGACGACGATCGAAAGACTAATGAGTAATGACTATTGTCATATCTGTCCTATCTTATCCTATCCTAATATTTTTCCGTAGTCTTATTGAACTAAAAATAACTTATCGATTTGTACACTGTCTCATGTGTACATAAATATATTACTCTGAATTCTGAAAGGTGCTTATAATAAATACTTTTTATTTTTTTTATGGGAGGGGGTGGGGGGGGTATAGCCGTATAAGTAAAATGTTAAAATATTTTATCCCCCCCACAAACATGGCCAAATTACGCCACTGCGCATGAGTGTAAACATAAGATCGCAAACTTTGAGGGGCTATAACTTCCAAAATAATTGTCTCCGCTCAAAAATTCAAACAGTTTCGAAATCAGCGTTGAAAAACACGTCTTTTAAAAAAAAATCGAAATTCGTGAGGTGCGTGGTAAAGTGCATTTGTTCCCGATTTTGATCTGAGAATATTCCATAAAATAGGTCTTACTACAGGTAARTAACAATAATAATTTTTTCGTAAATACACGACACTGTGTGTGTTGCTATTGTACTAATACTAATGTACTACTTCAGCCGCTGTATGCACTGTATGCAGTATTACTCTATGGTATGCAGTGACCAGTTGTTGCATGGTGGGGAGATTTGGCCTCGAGATGTTCGAGCTTCGAGCGCAATCATTTGGATGCGCGTGCCGTATGCGCTCTCGTGGTGTGGAGTTTAATAACAATATTTCCCGCCATTTACTATTAGGTATCAACAACTTAATAAGATGTGCTTTGTCTGTATAACTGTCTATAGGAACTTGGGACAATTTAGCAGGGAAATAGTAACAGGCGTATACTGAATTCAGAATTGTATTCGCTATCGCTATTGTCCAGTGTTCACTATTCTTTCATATTCACTATACAATATCTGTACTCTATACTAGATATACCATTATTATTTTAAATTTCAGTGTGTCAGTGTTGTGTTTAATTGTAATTGTAATTTTGTCTATTTATTGTTTAAATCGATTTCACATTACAATCTTTTTTTTGCGAGATAAATTTGTGAAGTGTTTTTAAAATTTTATMGTGTGTTATTAACATTTTTTAAACTTAATTTAAGAAATATGGAGGGTTTTGATACACCTAGTATATTTTTCTCTGATACTTTTGGTGACGATGACAATTTGGCGTCTTCATTGTTGAATGCAAGAACTGTAAAAAAATCGTTCAAAGAATTCTTAAAAACATACAATGAAGAAAATTTTAACTATAAGTATAGAGATACATTAAAACGAAATTGCAATTTGGGTCAATTTTATTTAGAAATAAATGTTGAGGATTTAGCTGGATTTGACGAAAACCTTGCAGATAAATTATACAAACACCCAGTGGAACATTTGCCAGCATTTGAAGAAGCTGCGACAGAGTTAGCAAAAGAATTGCTTGCTTCAGATAACTTAGAAAATATTGAGCATGTTCAAATATTACTGTCTACAAATTCATTGGCTTCTTCTTTGCGTTCTATTAAATCTGAGTCTGTTTCTCGGCTGGTCAAAATTCCTGGTATTATAGTATCGGCCTCAAGTATTCGGGCCAAGGCTACACAAATAACATTACAATGTCGATCATGTCGTAACGTAGTTCCACATTTACCTGTAAAACCTGGTATGGATGGTTATATTTTGCCAAGAAAATGTACCACTGAACAAGCTGGCCGTCCACAATGCCCTTTAGATCCATATTTTATTATACCAGACAAATGCAAATGTGTTGATTCTCAAATTTTAAAACTACAAGAATTGAGTGAYTCAACACCTCAAGGGGAAATGCCACGACATGTACAATTATATTGTGATCGTTACTTGTGTGAACGTGTAGTTCCAGGCAACCGTGTTATGGTGGTTGGTGTATATTCTATAAAAAAGGTAAAATTTATTGAATTAATATACTTTGATTTTTTGAAAAATTTAAAATTTTTTAATTAATATGTTTTTAGGTTAAGACTGCAAAAAAGCAAAATCTTACTGAAAATTCTCGTACTGTGGTTGGTGTGCGTGCTCCATATTTAAGAGTTTTAGGATTCCAAATGGATGATCAGGTTGGAGGTTCTACATTTACAATACCCACATCAGTTGAAGATGAAGAACTATTTAGGAAATTGGCATCATCTCCTGATATTTATGACCGTATTGCAAAGTCTATAGCACCATCTATTTTTGGGTTTAGTGATATAAAAAAAGCGATAGCGTGCTTATTGTTTGGAGGTTCCCGAAAAAGACTTCCAGATGGTTTAACTCGTCGTGGAGACATAAACTTATTGCTTTTGGGAGATCCCGGTACAGCTAAATCACAACTTTTAAAGTTTGTTCAACAAGTTTCTCCTATTGGTGTATACACATCTGGTAAAGGTTCTTCAGCTGCTGGACTTACAGCTTCTGTAACTCGTGATCCAACATCTCATAATTTTGTGGTGGAAGGGGGAGCAATGGTTCTGGCTGATAGTGGTGTCGTCTGTATTGATGAATTTGACAAGATGAGAGAAGGTGATAGAGTTGCGATTCATGAAGCWATGGAGCAGCAAACCATATCAATTGCTAAGGCAGGCATTACAACTACTCTTAACAGTCGTTGTTCAGTGATGGCTGCTGCAAATTCGGTTTTTGGTCGCTGGGATGACAGTAAAGGCGAAGACAATATTGATTTCATGCCTACAATTTTATCTAGGTAGTATGATATGATGTGCTTATTATTAGGTTTGAAATTTTAATGTAAATTATATTTTTCAGGTTTGATATGATATTTATTATTAAAGATGAACATGATCAAAACAGAGATATGACATTGGCTAAGCATATCATGAATGTACATTTAATGAATGGTCAAACTAAGCAAGAGGTTGAAGGAGAATTACCGTTGGCTACAATCAAAAAGTTAACTAATTACTGTCGCCAGCGTTGTGGACCTCGTTTATCTCAAGAAGCTGGTGAGAAGCTTAAAAGTCGATATGTAATCATGAGAACTGGGTGTCATGAATTGGAATCTGAGAAAAAACTTGCAATTCCTATTACTGTCAGGCAACTAGAAGCTATAATTCGTATTGCAGAATCATTAGCTAAAATGCAATTGCAACCTTTCGCTACTGACAGTCATGTAGATGAAGCATTAAGATTGTTTCAAGTATCTACTCTAAGCGCAGCTACATCAGGCTGTTTGTCTGGTGTAGAAGGGTTTTCAACTGAAGAAGATATAGAAACACTTCAGAGAATTGAGAAGCAGTTGAAACGTCGTTTTCCAATTGGATCTCAAGTGTCTGAATTCAGTATTATTCAAGATTTTTTGAAACAAAAATATCCACAAAGGGCTGTAGATAAAGTTATATACTTGATGATTAGGAGAGGTGAAATACAACACATTATGCAACGTAAAATGTTAATTAGATTGAAATAATAATTATAACATGAAAAATAAAATATTTCCATTCAAATGTAATGTACCTACTAATTAAAAATGTAATTCATATTGTGTTCAAATTTATAATAATTATGATAAAAAATGAGTGATTTATTTTTTTGATTTTAGTAGTTTATTATAATTTTAATAATATAATTGATATGTAATATAAGTCTTTGAACTACAGAATAAGTACTTGTGTTTTTAACTAATGGCCAGGGCTATATTTAAGGAGAAAAGGATTGTTTTAAATTGTTAAATGTTTTTATTCTTTTAAAATTCCATTGATTTATTTTTGACAGTTAATATATTTTAAAATGTATTATACCTTAATTTATAATACTATAATTTGTCATATTCACTTACATGCCTTAGCTGTAAAGTCTTAAATATTGAAACTGATATATTCTGACTTCCACATTAATTATGCTAATGTGACCAAATAATTTCCTGTATCACAATCCATGCAGAAAATCAAATCTATTTTTCGACTTATAAATTATAAATTAATTAATTTTTAAAACTAATCTTTTTTTTTTAATTTTCATTCTTTTAAATGAGCTGGTGTTAGATATCTCTGGACTGCTGTCATTAAAATATTTTGATTTCGTTTACAATAATTTTCAAATACCTTGGCTGAACTTCTGAAATTAAACTGAACCTTATGAATATAAAATTATATTTTATTCGCAACATTAATTATAATACTGTTCTATTAATTTACAATATTTTATGTTGGATACCATATTAGGAGAGGAAGGAGATACTTATATTAACATATTAAGTTACTTCAAATGAAACCTCTCTTGTTTTGTAGGATTGTCGTTTTTTGATTTGTAAGAAGAAAATTTTCTTCAAGCCACATTGAACTCCATTTTTTTTTCTTATTGATTTTAAGCCCAGCAACTATAGGCATTAGTTATAAATAGCTACAATTATCGGGGTTACTTGTTTATATGACAAAAAAGTTACGCCATTGGGCGATGAAAWTAAAATAATAATTTTGCTGCGCACCGCCACTTCACCCAAAAGTGAAAATGGTGATAAATACCATAAATTTATTAATGAATAATCATCAAGATATGATAATGAAACATAATAAAATAGATATCGAAAAGTTTTGGTAGAAAAATTATTACCTATATTATTACGTTGTTATTTTCAAGTAGTGTTGAAGTAATCTGAAGTATCATTTTTAATGTTATGAAAGTACCTACACATATTGTAAACAATGTTTGATTTTAGGGRCAAGGTTCCTCTTCTTACAAAAAAAATAAATACCTATTTCTCTTTATCCACCCCTTCTAATTATATCCTATTTAATAAGGCATTTAAATACTTTTACAACTACCTACTATTTGTTTCCCAAAATCAAGCACAGTAAGAATAACCATTATCTAGTAAATTTAAAATAATTTTTTCCATTTTATATTTTTTACAGGTGTCTATGATTGATAGTATGGAACTTTTTGCGTCTTATGATACTATTTATCCAGCAGATACTGTAGAATGGTGTCCAATATCAGAACACAGCAATGTATTTGTATGTGGAACTTATAAGCTTGACGAGGCAACAAAAACAAAAACTGGCACTATCAATTTATTTTCTTTAGAGAGTCAAAACAAGATTAAACTGGTCCAAAGTGTTACCAATGATGCTGTGCTAGATTTAAAATGGAATCCTTTTATTGTTTCTGGACAAATATTACTAGCAGCTGCATTGTCTGGCAACCATGTTAGTGTATATCGTTTGGGTGAGGTTTCAATTGTTAATAATCAAAAGACAAATGAAAATAAATACATCAAATTAATTATTACATGTTTTAGATAAAAATGGAACTGATATATCTTTAAGCTTGTTCTCTAGTTTTGATCTTCCGAAAACTAACGGTGTATCTAATATGAGTTTATCAATTGCATGGTCATGCCCTTATGAAAATGGATCACAAAGTATTGCATTTAGTGACTCCGGTGGTTATATTACTTTAGTAAATTTAAACAATCAACTTATACGCAGTTTCAAAGCTCATGATTTTGAATCATGGATAGTCACATATAATTATTGGGAACCAAATATTTTATTCTCAGGTACATCTATTATTACTTAGTATGTCTAATTACGCATCTATTGTTTTGTTTAGTTCTGGTTATTCTAAAGTACGTAATAAACTTTATTTCAGTTGGTACCTAAATAATATTTAAAATTTTAGGTGGTGAYGATTGTAAATTTAAGTGTTATGACCAACGTTTACAATTTGACAAACCTATATTTGAAAATAAAGAACATGAACAAGGAGTAACAACTTGCTCATCCAATAAAATCCGAGAAAATATAATCGTCACAGGAAGGCAAGTTTATTTTTYTAAATAAATATAAATTTATTWATGTAGTTTATGAAATTTATAGTTATGATGAAAATATAAGGCTGTGGGATATACGTAATATCAAGCACAGTTATAATAGCGTGAACGTTGAAGGTGGAGTTTGGAGATTGAAATGGGAACCTTATAAAGAAGAATATCTCTTAAGTGCATCAATGTTTAATGCTGCGCATATAATAGACACATCATTAAATGTAGCTAATATTTGTCAATCTTTTGGTGAAAAAAAAAATAGGCTTTACTATGGAGCTGATTGGTGTCACCATCATGATACCCAGTTTGGACATGATGCTAAATCAAAAAATAAAAAAATAATTGCTACATGTACATTTTATGATCATAGGTTAGATTTATTTTTTGTCAATATGAAATTATAAAAATATACACTATTATTAAAAAAGTGACTGATAACTTGTAACCATTTTATTACTTTCAAATTAATTACAGATTAAAGTTTTTTAAATATATTTATGTGTATCAGTTATATGGAATATTTTGCTTATATTTAATAATGAATACACACAATTTTAATCTAACAAAACATATAACATAAGAATTTTGAATTATTATTACAACATACAAAATTTATCTACAAAAATTCATCACACCATGCTTTTAAGCATGCATGACAATCTTTTGATTGTTTTGAATTAGCTTTTATGGTATCTTTTAACCAGTCACAGAATAACTCTTGATCCATCTCTAAAAGAAGAAATTGAMCTAATACATTGTAAGCCTAAAACAAAATAAATAGTAATAATTTCTCTGTTAATATAGAAAAAGCTATTATTTATAAAATACAACGGTTGATACTATAATTTGGGTAAATTAAAAAAAGGTCATAGATTTACTTACTTTGTTGAATCCTTGTTCTCTTAGTCTAGTAGCTAGTACTGATCCAATACCAGCGAGATCTTCAACTGGTTTGTCTCGCATAGGCTCCCCAGAAAACGCCTTGTGTTTTTGGCTGGTTGTGGATGATGGAGTAGTCATAATGTATAATTTACTTTGCAATCTGAGAAAAATTAATGAACAAATATTAGTTTAAGGTTATATCGGTACCAAATTGCGAAGCGTGAATTATAAATTTATGAGTAGTTTTATATAATATTTAGTGTAAAGCGAAGAAAAAAAAATAGTTATGAATTCAAAGTGAAGTCCAGTTTTATAAAAAGATTAAACATTAAGTAAACTGATAAGATAAAATTAAAAATATATGATACTTCATATTAATAAAAACATAAAACATATTTTAAACGAGACAAATAAATTTAAAAAAAGAGAACAAACTACAAATAATAATTACTATATAATTTGGAATTTGGTTGCAAACCTTTTTTTTTTTTTTTGCAATCAATGAGTGATGAGTCAACTGCCACAAACAACGTAATACTAGTATATAAAAAAATTCAATTCAAACTTAAAACAGTATAATTCGTGTAAATTATTTTAATGAATATGTATAAAGTCTATGGAAATATAAATCGTAAAAGGCAGAACTACTTACATATAACTTAAGTAGAATAAAAAGTACAATTTAAACTGGTTATTCCAACCGAAAAGTCGTTCRAAGAATAATTTAACGATAATCGGATAATATAATATTTTATGTTTATCACTGCTCTACCAATTTTTATATTATTATAATATAATCGTTAACAGCAGGGACATCTGACATATACGTTATATGTCGTTAAATTACTTCGTAGTATACGTTTTTTATCGTGTAATGTCCACTCATAATATTAAAATATTGTGTAATGAATAATGATGTATTTAAGAATTGTTATTTTTTATGATGCAAGTTATAACATTAAAGTTTTGACTTTTGAGWAGTAAACCGCCCGTCCGTCCAYGAGGAAGAAAGACGTAGGTTACTAGGTTCACGGTTCACCATTTTGGAAGTTGTCGCCTGCCGATTGGATGTAATACACGCCTGGTGCAAACAAGTGGTTCACCATAATGTTATGAAATAATTACAAAGACGTTGTAAACTCATATATTTTTACTTTTTATATATTTTATGAAATGTCCTTGAATTGTTCAAAGTACATAACCTATAAATTCCGAAACAAGAATTATTTCTATATTCAAAAAAATTCTTTATTTCGAGAATTATTTCAAATTGTTCGKAGTCCTYGTAGTGCTTAATTACTATTAATGTGTGTTCGATTGACATTTAGTTCGTTATTTTACAATTTGAGGGTAAGTACAATTTTCCAGTAATATACATTTAATATCTAATAAAAGTCTGTGTTAATTAAACTCAAGTTAATAAAAATATAGGTCTTACTTTAACCAGTATGTTTAACATAGGTAAAATTTTATTTTTTTTCAAGTCTATATATATATATATATAAAATATACATTATTTCAGATTATGCGCAAATAACTCTGATTGTGAATATAGTAAGTCATCAAATTACCTCCATATATAATGAAAGACAAAGAGAGACCACCTATATTAAACATTCAACATCGTACGGTAGAAACAGTCGGACCATGGATATTAAGATACTTATCAGGTTCCACTGTTCAAGATAAATGTTTAACTAATGGTGAAGAAGTAGAAGACACTAACGAATCATTCATCGATGAAGAAACTGAATCAGATACAATTTATCTAAAAACTCTAGATCCTAAGGAATGGAAAGATCAAGATCATTATCAGTAACTATAATATACATATATATATATATAAATTTAGTAGTATATCATTGCAAATTTGGATAATACACTGAACTATTGCTTTCATTATGAACATAATTAGGACATCAATATATTTAAAACTTATAGTAATGTTATGAATAGATATGTTTCATATACTAAGTTTTAAAAGTAATATTGCATTGCTACAATTTCTGTTTTTCAACTGTACCCTAATCATTATTTTTTYTCTCATTATTGATGGTAAAAAGCAGCTTAAATATTTAAATTATAACAAATTTTTTTTTTTTGTAATTTAAAATCCATTATATWATTTAAAWGTAATAATATTATGAAACTCAATTTATTGCGCTGCTATGAAAACAAACAAAATGTTAGTTTTTTTATTTACAACAAAAAGAAAACTTAGTCAACTTTGCTTACTCGTGTAAGTGCCTGCCAAGATGCTATATTTAAATATGCTATTTTAAATCATATTAATTGTTAAAGCGATTTTTAAGWTTGCTATCAGCAATCTATAAATGGAGTATAATAGTAGGCACCTATACAACTTTTGCAGGGTATCAAAATTACATTCACACTCCCTACTACTATATTAAGTTATTATTTTTTTATTTTATTTTTTGGCATTAATCCAGTATGGTTTATGAACAGTTTTTAAAAATTTGTATTCTTACGAATTAAAAGAATTTGATTTAACATAGAATCAAATCTGATCTGACCTCTAAATTCACTTAATTTTACTTATATTTGTGTTAACGAACACTAAAGTGTGTGTATTATTGCAAAATTCATTACAAAAAAAAAAAAAAAACTGCCATATAATTCAAGAAAAAATAATTTTTTTTTTTCATTACAGGGTCTTAGGATTATCCAAATTGCGATATAAAGCCACTGAAGCACAAATCAAAAGTGCTTATAGACGTAGAGTTCTTAATCATCATCCAGATAAAAGAAAAAAACTTGGTGAGAAAGTTCAAGGAGACGATGATTATTTTACATGTATCACAAAAGCTTGGGAAACTCTYGGGAATAAAACTAAAAGGCGTGCATATGATTCAATTGATCCTAAATTTGACAACAGTATTCCTTCCAAGGAAACGGCAAAAAAATCTGACTTCTTTGAATTATTTGGTCCGGTATTTGTTCGTAATAGTATATGGTCTGAACAAAGTTCTGTACCACTTTTAGGAGATATAAATAGTAGTCGTGATCATGTTGATCGTTTCTATAATTTTTGGTATGGCTTCAATTCATGGAGAGAATTTTCATATCTTGATGAAGAAGATCGTGAACAAGCCTCAGATCGTGAAGAACGAAGATGGATTGAAAAACAAAATCGTGCAAATCGTACTAAACTAAAAAAAGAAGAGAGCACTCGTATTAGACAGTTAGTTGATTTAGCTTATGCTAATGATCCAAGACTTTTAAAATTTAAAAAAGAGGAACAAGAACGAAAAGCAGCTGTGAAACAAGCCAAAAAAGATGCAATAAGACACAAACAAGAAGAAGAAATCAGACTAAGAGAAGAAGAAGAAGCCAAAGTACAAAAAGAAAAAGAAGAACGAGAGGCTGCAGAAAAGGCACAACGAAATGCACTTAAGGCTGAAAAAGAAAGTCAAAAGAAAGCTTTGAAAAAGGAACGTAAACATATAAGGGATTTATGTAAAACAAATAATTACTATATACAACATGGTGATAATGTTATTGAAATAATGTCTGGTGTTGAAAAAATTTGTGATCAACTTTCTGCCCTACAACTTAAACAATTGGCCAGTGCCCTTCAAATAGAAGGTCGCAAAGCTTTAATAGAAAAACTTAAACAAATGGAATGCAGAGTTGAAATGAATAATGTTATTAAAAATGATATCAAAATAGTTGAAAAAAATAATAATGATTGGGAAACTGATGATGTTCAATTATTGATAAAAGCGGTAAATTTGTTTCCAGCTGGTACAAGCCAACGCTGGGAAGCTGTGGCTAATTTTATCAACCAACATAGTAAAAACGGTGAACGAAATGCCAAACAAGTATTAGCTAAAGCTAAATCTCTTCAAAATACTAACTACACTGATAATGCTTTAAAATCTGAAATGAATGCCAATGCGTATGATCAATTTGAAAAAGAAAAAAAATGTGAATCACAAATACCTGAAGTAGTTTCAGAACGTCCAGTTGGATGGTCAGCAGATGAGCAAAAGTTATTGGAACAAGCTCTTAAGACATATCCAAATGCTGTAAAAGAACGTTGGGATAGAATAGCAGAATGTGTTCCAACAAGAACGAAAAAAGAATGTATGAAAAGATATAAAGAAATTGTTGAATTAGTTAAAGCCAAGAAAGCTGCTCAAGTGTAAAAGTTTGTCAACTATTCTGAATACATGTTAACAAAACTAATGTTTTTATTTAAATTCTTTTGTTTTGTTAATAATTTTGAACAAAATTAAATTTTTAATTCAATATAGTTTTAATGATCATTGATCATTTGACACAATGAAGATAACTTGTAAAATGTATTCATTTTTATAAGATGAACCTATTTGTATTAACACTTAAAAATCTAAAATTCAATTCCTAGTTTCCCTAAATTTTACAGTAAAGATGTTGATTATTATATTGATTACTAAATCAGTTTAAAAAATGTATGTAATATACATTATGAAGTATAATTATTATTTTTGTATTACTGTCTTATGTTCATATAATTACAATCCAAATTACTAAAAGTTGAGCATTTTGTGGAGTGGGGAGAAGTTTGTCAATAAAGTAACCATTTGTTAATGTTAAAATGACATTTTTTATTAATGATTTMAAATAAAATACTTAATTTTCTACATAACTAAAAATCAAATACAAAAAAGTACTCGTCGATAATAAAAATTAAGAGTAATTTATTCACGATGTGAAAAAGTATAAATTATTGTTGAATAACTTAAATACTACGGATAGTGGTTCTTCCTGTAACCATAATTTGGCCCAAATCTTGTACTTCTTTCAGAGCATCATCTAACATTTCTCTTGTAACTTGAAATGGAAAAGCTGATTTAGTTTCACTTAATAATTTTTGATAGTTAAATATTGTAGATTTGGGTTGGCTTGATATTACTTTTGACAAATATTCCGCTAGGTCATGTCGTCTTTGTCTTGCAGCAGAACTCAATCCTGTAGTTAGTATTCCAACATCTATTTTGCCAGAAAGAGGATCTGTAGCACTTTGCTTTAATGCTTCTCGGTATAATCTCCAAGCTTCATCAACATCAGTAATTTCTACAACGTTAGAGTATCTCATTTTAGCATGAGCTTCAGATAACCGTATCAAAGATTCTAACTGTCTTGGATATGCAGATACCTGCCCTCTACCACTTCCAATAGTCCTCATGTTCACATAATATTGAATAAGCTTCTGCCTGCTTTCTTCATTTAAAATAGGTTGAAATGTTTCTCGCCCATAAGTTATATAATCTTGAAGCAAGCTAGTATCCATTTGTTCTTCACGTTCATAATTTTCATTTTGGTAGTACAAAGATACTAAATGATTGGCTAATCTTCTATCATACTGTTCATTTTGAGGATCCAACATTAAAAATATTAGATCAAATCTGGATAACAGTGTGTGAGGGAGTTGTATATTTTCTATAATGGTCTTGTTTTTATTCCATTGTGATTCDCATGGATTTGCAGCAGCTAAAATGGAAGTTCTAGCATTCAATTGACAGATAATACCTGCTTTGGCAATACTTAAAGTTTGTTGTTCCATAACTTCATGTAATACACTTCTAGCTGACTCGCTCATTTTATCAAATTCATCAATGCAACAAACTCCATTATCGGCTAAAACTAAAGCTCCAGTCTGTAAAACCAGTTGCCTAGTTTCTGGATCTCTAATTACATAAGCCGTCATACCAACAGCTGAAGATCCTTTACCACTAGTATACTGACTTCTGGGTACAATATCATACACATAAGACAAAAACTGTGATTTACTTGTACCTGGATCACCACATAAGAGTATATTTATTTCAGACCTTAAATGATTTTTCTTTTTAGAAGTTTTTCTGGTCCCGCCAAAAAGCTGCATTAAAATACCTTTTTTTATATCGCAGTTTTCGTATATGGAAGGTGCCAAAGCATTAGACAATCTATCATAAATGTCTTCTGTCTTAGATAGTTGTCGCAATACTTCAATTCGTTCCTCACTTATTTTATTTTTCTCTTCAACAGCAAATGA